TGCTAAGTTTTTTGTTACTGCTTCAAATAGGGCGAAACTGAATACAAATATACCCTAAAGCACATATCTAACAGGCAAAAAGAAAAACTGAGAAAATATTAAAAATTCAGGGAAATATGATAGGTGCGGTGAAAAATTCGCCAAAATTTGCCGAATTTTGGGCCTTCCATTAACCGCCTGTCCCTCTCGGTTGTTTACCACCCCATCTATTTGCCGCCCTGCTTACCTGCTTCCGACTCCGTACGCAGCTAGCGCACCGGGCACAAAGTTGTTTTTCGACTCACGGTGTCTTTCTTATCCGTTCGCCACCTCGTCTTCCTGTCACCCCGCTCGCCTGCTCCCTGTTCCTTACCTCCTTTGTTTTACAGGCAGCGGCCAGCGCAACCCGGTTTTCCCCTCGATAGTAGTCGTAATCCTAAGCGGACCTCGGGGGGGGGGTGTTAGTTTGTAGTCAGTCCGACTAGTCTTTCGTCCCTCTGTCCGAACCCGATGGGCGATAGTAAGCTAATACAACTGCGTGCCCCACCTACTTAGGCAGAGTCGACCATCCTTCGGGTCCCTAGTGGGCATGCTCACACTCAGAGCATCTCTCGATAGATCGTGTTTGGCGGACGAGGCACTCGCAGAAGGCCCACACCATCCTTTGGCTGCAGCCTTACGGCCTGCTCGGAATGTTTTCTGATCCCCTCCCACCTTAGGCTACTGACACTCTCCAAGTGGGAGATGAGGGAAACCACGACCACGGACCCCACGTGCTTTGACCCCCCTCAGTCAAAGCTTTAAGATGGGCGGGGCAAAGCAATTTCGTCAACCTCCCGACACACAGGAACTTACAGGTCAACCAAAGAGGTGCGCGTTTTCAAGGTCCTCGACCGCCGTGACGACCTTTAAATCCGACGCCGCGTCTACAATAAAAAAATGTTTTCAAGAAATGTCGACGCATGAATAATAAAAAAATAAAACAATAATAAATCATCTATACAAGGGAAAAAAATAGTTGATACCGTTTTGACGCCTCTGTCAGCAAAACCAAGGGGGATAGCCCCGCAGGCCTCTCAACCCCTCGGTTTCTTCGCGCCACTCTGGTGCTCCCACGTTGTCGCCCTTTGGTCTCGATCCCTAAATCTCCCTGTTGCAAGTCCGACGCCATAACCCATAGAGCTAACTCAAAGTCTGGGTCCGACTTTGGCGGACACCTAAATAAAACGAACATTGCGTACCGCGCAGATCTACCAAGACGTCTTCAAGGTTAACGATGCCGTCATCCGCACATATGCACAAGTCACGGACACACATACTAATAAAAAAACATGATTTTGTTAATCCTAACTTGATCAGAAAAAAATTGACCGGCGATCACGCCGATTTCTACAATCATCAAAAGCAAAAGAGATCACACGCGCCTTAAGTCTGCGTGCCGACACACTCTCTATTATAGTCAATCGTGCAATCAATCGGAACCCACAGGCACAGCCGCGCCGCATGCGGTATACTTCAACTTTAGATC